GATCATTGCTCAAGCAGAACAGTCTACTTCATAAGGAAAGGTTCTTCCTCACTCTTCAAGGTTTTGCTCTTGGCCATTTCCATATTTGTCATGGCTAGACTTGTTTCAGTAGAACCTCTGTTGCATTCCTGACTCTAAATGGTGTTTGTGTGTACCAGGCAGATGCTCTGTGCTTTGCAGGGTGCAGCATTCTTAACCACATACAACATCACAAGAATCAAGAACAGGCAAGAACTGTCTACTTTCTATCTTCCACCACAGCAGCCAACACTTCATTGAGGCTGTCAACTGTCTTTCTACAGTATGAACAAATACTGTTGCTCTTGTCTCTCTTAGATTAAATACTCAGGATGTTGAGCATGAAGACGAAATACACAACTTTCTGTTTGCTTGACCCAAAATATAACATCCAAAATTAAGCTGAGCGAACAGTTATAGGTGTGTGACAGACTTGAATGACTGACTGACATAAGAGGACTCAGAGAAGATGAGAAGCTGGGGACAGTAGGATAGTAGGACATTCAAGTTGCACACCACTGATACTGAAAGGGACCTACTCCTGCTTACATTTAGCGTTATTGTATTGGGCACACTTTTTTATTTGTTTACTTAAGGAGGTCTATTGAGAGAAGGGCTTTTACCCTGACATTTGTGCCCACATGCAAGCTGTTATTGTATTTGATAAGGAACGATTATTCATTTATAAGGCAGAAAATGAATACTTATATTTTAGTGTGGTTGTTTGCCTCTGGTACATACCAGCTTTATGGCAGTCACGTCACTGTAAAGCTGAGTTCAAGAGCATGCATGACCGGAGAGAAATGCAGCTATTTGTATTTTTGTATTTATTATGGATCCCCATAGCTGCTGCCAAGGCAGCAGCTACTCTTCCTGGGGTCCAGCAAAATTAAGGCAGTTCATACAATTTTTTAAACATTACAATACATTCACAGATTTCACAACACACTGTGTGCCCTCAGGTCCCTACTTCACCACTATGATTTTAATGATATGGTTATGGGAAAATGTTTAGTCATTTTATCTCCAGTGAAGCAATATCCTGTGTATTTTGACAGATATAGTTCCTTTGCATAGCTACAGTGTGACTGTTGGGCCTGAGTTGATACGATATACTGCTAGATCTGACAGCTGAAATGTTCCAACTCTCAAGTCTGTGTCTGATTATAGCTCTGCTGGAATCTGTCTGATGCAGTGACAGAGAGGTTCAACTCTCAGCTCCAATGTTAGATCAATGTACAGTATAACATTGAGTTGTTAGGGCCTCCCGAGTGACACAGCGGTTTAAGGCACTGCATCGCAGTGTTTGAGGTGTCATTACAGACCCGGGTTCGATCCCAGGCTGTGTCACAACTGGCCGTGACCGGGAGTCCCAAAGGGCGGCGCACAATTGGCCCAGCGTCGTCTGGGTTAGGGGAGGGCTTGGCCGGGGGGGGGGCTTTACTTGGCTCATCGCGTATTAGCGACTCCTTGTGGCGGGCCGGGTGCCTGCAGGCTGACTTCGGTCGTCAGCTGAACTGTGTTTCCTCCGACACATTGGTGCAGCTGGCTTCCGGGTTAAGTGTGCGGGTGTTAAGGAGCGAGGTTTGGCGAGGTTTGGCGGGTCATGTTACGGAGGACGCATGACTCGACCTTCACCTCTCCCGAGGCGGTTGGGGAGTTGCAGCGATGAGACAAGATGGTAATTGGATCACAATTGGATATCACGAAATTGGGGGAAAGAAAGAAATAAAATAAACACACATTGAGTTGTTAACTGGCCTTTTGGGTTTCAAACACACGCAGCTACACAGCCAGACAAGTTACACATACAGTAGATGGCATGGGCAGGAGTTTGACTGCTGTAGGATATATTGGCCAGTCAATCGTGAGTCAGCTAGGATTGTGCCAAGCTGTGAACAGCAGTAATGATTTGATTCTGTAAGAGCGAGTGGGGTTGAGGACAGGCCAGGGTAGTTGGATTGAGCTTCATTAGCTCTGTTACAGAGCAACTACATGAGGGCCAAAGAGAAGTCAGGGAAAAGGCTACAGTACCGAGAGGGAGAGCTACTGAGAGGGAGAGGCTTCTTCATACATAGAGCCTGTTTTATAACCTCATTCTTAACATCCACATAATGAAGACCTGGACAATCTCGGTCCATTGAATGAATAGCTCTTCATACAGTTATGTTTGATTGTACTGGACAGTAGCCTACAGTGGGGAAAAAAAGTATTTAGTCAGCCACCAATTGTGCAAGTTCTCCCAGTTAAAAAGATGAGGCCTGTAATTTTCATCATAGGTACACGTCAACTATAACAGACAAAATGAGGAAAAAAAATCCAGAAAATCACATTGTAGGATTTTTTATGAATTTATTTGCAAATTATGGTGGAAAATAAGTATTTGGTCAATAACAAAAGTTTCTCAATACTTTGTTATATACCTTTTGTTGGCAATGACACAGGTCAAACGTTTTCTGTAAGTCTTCACAAGGTTTTCACACACTGTTGCTGGTATTTTGGCCCATTCCTCCATGCAGATCTCCTCTAGAACAGTGATGTTTTGGGGCTGCGCTGGGCAACACGGACTTTCAACTCCCTCCAAAGATTTTCTATGGGGTTGAGATCTGGAGACTGGCTAGGCCACTCCAGGACCTTGAAATGCTTCTTACGAAGCCACTCCTTCGTTGCCCGGGCGGTGTGTTTGGGATCATTGTCATGCTGAAAGACCCAGCCACGTTTCATCTTCAATGCCCTTGCTGATGGAAGGAGGTTTTCACTCAAAATCTCACGATACATGGCCCCATTCATTCTTTCCTTTACACGGATCAGTCGTCCTGGTCCCTTTGCAGAAAAACAGCCCCAAAGCATGATGTTTCCACCCCCATGCTTCACAGTAGGTATGGTGTTCTTTGGATGCAACTCAGCATTCTTTGTCCTCCAAACACGACGAGTTGAGTTTTTACCAAAAAGTCTCCCAATCCACTTCTGGATCATCCAAATGCACTCTAGCAAAAAATCAGACGGGCCTGGACATGTACTGGCTTAAGCAGGGGGACACGTCTGGCACTGCAGGATTTGAGTCCCTGGCGGCGTAGTGTGTTACTGATGGTAGGCTTTGTTACTTTGGTCCCAGCTCTCTGCAGGTCATTCACTAGGTCCCCCCGTGTGGTTCTGGGATTTTTGCTCACCGTTCTTGTGATCATTTTGACCACACGGGATGAGATCTTGCGTGGAGCCCCAGATCGAGGGAGATTATCAGTGGTCTTGTATGTCTTCCATTTCCTAATAATTGCTCCCACAGTTGATTTCTTCAAACCAAGCTGCTTACCTATTGCAGATTCAGTCTTCCCAGCCTGGTGCAGGTCTACAATTTTGTTTCTGGTGTCCTTTGACAGCTCTTTGGTCTTGGCCATAGTGGAGTTTGGAGTGTGACTGTTTGAGGTTGTGGACAGGTGTCTTTTATACTGATAACAAGTTCAAACAGGTGCCATTAATACAGGTAACGAGTGGAGGACAGAGGAGCCTCTTAAAGAAGAAGTTACAGGTCTGTGAGAGCCAGAAATCTTGCTTGTTTGTAGGTGACCAAATACTTATTTTCCACCATAATTTGCAAATAAATTCATAAAAAATCCTACAATGTGATTTTCTGGAATGTTTTTCCTCAATTTGTCTGTCATAGTTGACGTGTACCTATGATGAAAATTACAGGCCTCTCATCTTTTTAAGTGGGAGAACTTGCACAATTGGTGGCTGACTAAATACTTTTCTTCCCCACTGTATATTTCTCTCACAAACACATCTATTTTTACAGCTCTATGGCCATAAAAAGCCCTCACCCACTCTGTCCAATAGGGTTTGTGTCTATCTGCCTCAAGTATCTAGCAGAAGATGCTGAATATATGTCACAACCAGCAAGTTACAGCATATGTTAATGTCCTCTCAGGAAGTAATGTGTGAACAAAACATTAAGTTTCAGGAAATGACTTGCCAACCACAATTCACTACATGCTTGACACGTACATTAGCTTGAGTAGAGTTTGTCACCTAGTTGTTGTCACTGCTGTTAAACATTTTAGGTTGGTCTACATTTGCCTACACATTTAAACTGGAGTTTAATGATCTATATCTGTATGTATATTTACTGCTTTTTTGACTGACATGTAGTAGTTGTAGTATAGGTGAATGGGAGGAGTCCTGGTAGCAGCCTGTTTTAGTCATTGTAATGCTCAGCTATGTGACTTGACAGTGGTTTATCTTGATATTAGCCCCCTATGTGATCCAAGTAAGCCCTTTTCAGATCTATTAGTATCAACCCGCCCAGAGCAAATGTTGACTAAGTTATTATTTTCTAACCAGTTTAAGTAAAGAGGATAGCGACTGTATTATTTGTGGCCAGTGTGAAGCTAAGTTTATCACATCTGGTCAGTGTGATGTGGCTAACCACTTTTGTCTCTCTTCCCTCTGAAAGAGAAACACTGGACCAAAGATACAGGAAGTGTTTATAGACCATCTTATTTGTGTCGTATATCTTCACTAAGTTCAATGGTAAACACCCATCATGGTGTCATTCAATCTTAGGGAGCTGTCATAAAGACAATGAACATACACAGAACACATGGTTGGGGAAGTTAGCGATGACTTGGACTCAGGTGACTTTAAAACCATCTCATTTTAGTGTTTTTATTTTCAGACAGAGGGGATTGTCCCCAGTCGTTGTCTGTTAGTCAGACCTCTGGACCACCTCCATATATTTCCAAAGCCCAATGGCAAAAATGTATCACTTTGTTAGCTAGTCTTTTATTATAGTAACTGCTATAGGTGAGCTCAGTTATTTTTAGGTACGTTTTTCTTATGGTGTTTTTTGGTGCCCAACCTCAGAGGACAACTTTTTTACGATAACTAATATATATATTTTTACTTTTCTCATGGTGTTGGTGTTTACTTTATCCACAGTGAACATCCAAGAATCTGACTGAGGCACAGGTTCATCATCCACTACAATGGTGAACCAGGACCCCACCGACCCCTCCCATGCCCTCTTTGACCAGTTTGTCCAGACACAGACCTGTAAGGAGGTGCAGCGTACCTTCTCAGAGCTCTGCCACCACCTAGAAGTGGACCCCAGGGACTACCAGAGTTTCTACACCAAGCTCAAGGAGAGGCTCAACTACTGGAAGGCCAAAGCCCTCTGGATCAAGCTGGACAAGCGGGCCCAACACCAAGATTACCAGCAGGGCAAAGTCTGTGCCAAAAACAAGGTGTGTATTTATTTATTTATTCTCATTTAAACGAAGAAGAGGAATAATCAAGAAGTGATCTAACGTAAAATACATGTGTACAAGGACAGTGGCTGTGTGGTGCTCTGTTAGTAGTGCATCTGTAGTTGTGTTAAGGTTTCAACATCAGCATTGTGTATCTACAGTGGCAGAGTACTGTCAGTGCTTTTGATACTACTAGCTTACTCGAGATAGAAGGGAGAGAAAGGAAAAAGCGGAGGGCCCGATAAGGACAAAAGGCAGAGAGAGCCGCGAAGAGCAGAGAGACGAGAGCGAAGAAAGAGACAAGAGAGAGAGAGCGGACAGGAAAAGAGAGCGAGAGCAGAGAAGAGAAAGAGGGAGAGAGAGAGAGACGAAGAGAGAGAGAAGAGAAAAGAGATAGAGAAGAGAGAGAGCGAGAGAGACGAGAGAGAGCGAGAGAGAGAGAGAGAGAGAGAGAGAGAGAGAGACGATGAGAGAGAGAGAGAGAGCAGAGGAGAGAGCAGAGAGAGAGAGAGAGAGAGAGATAGTAAGGAAGCGAGGAGAGAGAGAGAGCAGAAGAGGAGAGAGAAGGAGAGAGAGCGAGAGAGAATAGCGAGAGAATCTATCTCTATCGATCTCGACGATCTCTATTTATATCTGCAATCTATCTCTCTCATATCTCTCTCTCTCTATCTTCTCCTCTCATATCTCACTCTCTTCTCTCCTCTCTCTCTCTCTCTCTCTCTCTCTCTCTCTCTCCTCAGTGCCTGGTGCTGGGTGCAGGGCCGTGCGGGCTGAGGACAGCCATAGAGCTGGCTCTGCTGGGGGCTCAGGTGGTGTTACTGGAGAAGAGGGATTCTTTCTCCCGGAATAACGTGCTGCACCTCTGGCCTTACACCATCTATGACCTGCGTGGGCTGGCTGCCAAGACGTTCTACGGCAAATTCTGCACTGGGGCTCTGGATCACATCAGTATGTCTACCATTGTCATACTATATCAACTCGATTTCCTGGTGTAATCATGCCAATCATATTTCTTTATTCATTATGCATGACTAAATCAAACCTCTCTTATTTAGTTTATGATGCTATTACGGTTCTTTTTTCACATACAATGTCTGTGTGTATGTGTCCGTATCATCAGGCATCAGTCAACTGTTTGAATTGAAGAGGATTGTTTTAATTCCCTGTGTGACAAATCATACATATTTGTCTGTATCCTTCAGGCATCCGTCAGCTCCAGCTGATACTGCTGAAGGTGTCTCTCCTCCTGGGGGTGGAGGTTCACACTGGGGTGGAATTCAAAGGCTTTGTGGAGCCCTCAGGAGCCACAGGTACATCTAGACCTCTCCCCCCTGTTCCCTTCCTGTATTAGAGAAATAAAATACTAGCCATTTGCATGGCAGTAAAAGCTTGTAGGGCAGTTGAAATAATCTGTCCGGAATCCTACGTGTGATAATAAACCTTAATGCTATGCTCTCTCTCTGGTTCCCTCCATCAGGCTGGATGGCCAAGCTGTTTCCTGATGATCACCCTGCTGGGAAGTTCCAGTTTGATGTCTTCATCTCTGCAGGAGGAGGACGCTTCGTCCCTGATGGTGAGGAGTGAGGACACACTCACACGCTGTCATCCTGCTGCACATACTGAACGTACTTTAGACCAGCATATTTTCATATGACTTCGTCCCTGATGGTGAGGAGTGAGGACACACTTGGAAAAGAAAGAATGTAGCCGAACACTCAAGCTCCTATACAATTGATTTGTTAAACGGAAACACTCAATTATATGCACCTGAATTCAGGCTGCATGTGCTTGTCCTCAATATGCATGTCTTTCTCCCCAGGCTTCAGGTGGAAGGAGCTGCGAGGAAAGCTGGCCATCGGCATCACATGTAACTTCATCAACCATCACTCAGCAGCCGAGGCCCAAGTGCAAGAGATCAGCGGTGTGGCCCGCATCTACAACCAGAAGTTCTTCCGGGACCTGCTCACAGAGAAAGGTAGGATTCTATTCTATGACACTGGTTTGGGTCTACTGACTGCCAACCCGTCTACTGGTGGACGCTAAGGTTTCAGCGACCGAGGATTAGGATAAAGAATAATGCACAGTCTGGGCATGGTGACAAGTATGGTGACAGAGAAGGAGTGGACAGTGGAGAGTGCTGTCTTTTAATCTGTGTCCCTCTTCCTCTTGTCAATGTCCTTTGAATTGATGCTATCATGTGTGATGCAATTCCCCAATCCTTCTTCTCTTGTGCTCTAGTGCTGTTTCACTTGTCCTGTCATTGTCTAGTTCCTAGTTTCTCACTCATTCATTTCGCTCTCGATCCCCCCCTCTCTCTCTCTCTCTCTCTCTCTCTCTCTCTCTCTCTCTCTCTCTCTCTCTCTCTCTCTCTCTCTCTCTCTCTCTCTCTCTCTCTCTCTCTCTCTCTCTCTCCCCCCCCACCCTTCCTCCAGGTATTGATCTGGAGAACATAGTCTACTATAAAGACGCCACCCACTACTTTGTCATGACTGCCAAGAAGAAGAGCCTGTTAAAGATGGGGGTCATTAAACAGGTGAGGGAAACACATCCATTACTATCAGCAGCAGCAGCTCCACATTAGGCCTCTAGAGGGCCTTTCACAATACTGAGACAACCTGGATCCCAACATAGTCCTCCCCAGACAGGCTGTTTTTTTTTCCTGCTCTTTGGGATTAGCTGCTAATAAACTGTGTTAATGTAATTTATGTCTGTGCAGCATGGGGTCAGCACTAGGTCTCCCCAGCCATGCTACTGTGTACACTGCTCACTCTCACTCCCTCTTGTCACACTACAAGTCTGGAGGGACAAAGCCAGATCCCCTTGTTTTGTCTTCAATGATTAGAGCCCATGCTGACTGTTATCAAAATAGAGGCTTTCATCTGTTATAGTTCAGTTGCCAAGATGGGAGATGTTCTGCTGAGTAACTGTTTAGTATTTATGTTGCACTGAAGCTGTAATCATTCTATATATTTGCGCATGATTATGGGGGTTGGTTTTTGTGTAATTCTTGACACTGTTCCATTTTGTTTAAAGATGCTGACTCAGTGTCGGCTTGCTTCTTTATGTGGAGCATATAATGCTTGGCTAGACTACGTGGGAGGATTATACCCATTGTTTTCACATAAAGCAGCATCTAGATTCTAGTCAGTGATAGACAGCTCTCAGATGTGTATCACCACCACCCCAGTGCTTGAATTAGGCCGGTCTGCATCAGTAGTACAGAGTATCAGCTTCTCCAATTTTCGATTGCTTGAGTACCGGCACCTCTTTATATAAGAACACCAGTACTATAAAATTAGAAAATGAGTACCGGCCCCTAATATTATTACTGGCACCTTTATCATTCCACTTCAAGCACTGACCAACCCCAATGTGTCCCCCATAGTTCCCCATAGTATTTTTGTTCCATTTAATTATATGGTGTCCCCTCTGTGACCGCCTCCAATATATTCCCTCTTGTCTCCAGGACTTCAGCGATGCCAATCAGCTCCTGGCCCAGGCCAACGTGGACCAGGAGGCTTTGTTGCGTTACGCCCACGGCGCTGCCCACTTCTCCACAGGCCACCGCTTGCCCAACATGCAGTTTGCCCAGAACCATGCTGGCCAGCCTGACGTGGCCATGTTTGACTTCACCTGTATGCACCGTGCTGAGAACGCCTCGCTGGTCAGGGAGAGGAACGGAAAGAAACTACTCATGGGCCTGGTCGGAGACTGCCTGGTGGAGGTGAGAGGTCATGTAAATGTGATGGATGACGACCTTGTTCTAAAATGTCTAACATGTTCATGGTTTCTATATTCTCACATACTGTATATACATTCAGTTATACACACAATGGTACACTTACTTGTAGTTTATACACAGTCCTCAGTTAGGAAATGGAGCATAAAATCGTCTCAGGGCATAACAGTGTCTACTGTTGTCATACAATTTCCTGTTGTCATACAACACTATTCTAAAAGGGTTTTGATAGAAAGTGTATGTGTCCACAGCCATTCTGGCCTCTGGGAACAGGTATTGCCCGTGGGTTTCTGGCTGCCTTCGACACAGCATGGATGGTGAGGAGCTGGGGCAAGGGAAAACCCCACCTGGAAGTCCTTGCTGAACGGTAACAAAGCTTTTTCTATATGATCATAAACACCACCTCAAAAATCATGTGCCCATCCCTCTTCATTGTTACTGTATAGAAGGGTTACCCTGGCCGGGCCTTTCAGAGAAAACTCTCCAACTGGTAATACCACTCGAGGCTTTTAACTGTTTTTCACAACATTCTTTGAACATCCATTACATCACAAGCAGCTGCTTTAAAAAAAGTATTCCTGAACAAACCCATCAGAATCTTCTGTTCCTTTGTTGGAGCATTTTCTTTTTCAGTTCTATATTGAGTTTCTGAGGTAGAATTGTCTCTAGAAGATGTCTTTCCCTCTGACTGAATAGGGAGAGTATCTACCAGCTCCTGTCCCAGACCACGCCAGAGAACACCAGTAAAAACTACAGTGCCTTTAGCATAGACCCGGCTACACGCTACCAGCACGTCAACCTCAACTCCATCAAGGCCAACCAGGTCAGAAACATATAAATATAATCTATTACATTCTAGTCCTTCTATTTCTATGGTCAGCACAGACTCAAATCTCCACTGATGCCCGATTCACACTATTGGGCCAACCTGAAAGGCACTGTGCTGGCTTGGATCTTTTCTTTTCAACACGGTTCCAGCAACTATAGTGGATGCGTAACCACGCCAGCTCAGTTAAGATTGGTTCAGGTGGGTTTGATGGTGTGAAAAGGGTATAACTGTCTCACTGTATCAATGCTAGCAAAGTGAATAGATATTGTGCTGAGTAACATTGTATACACGTTTTGAATTAGATCAGTGCTGCTCTGCCATTTTGGGTTGATATTTCCTAGAGTGTACATGCGTTGCCAGGAAACTGCTCTGTGTATATGAAGTGTTGAGCCGGCTAGGAAATGGTTTTTGATTTCCCCCACTAGAGGAGTATTGATCGGAAAGGCTTTAGAGTTTTCACAAACTACCAGATCAATTACACTGCATCAAACCAAACCCCAGCTTCTGCATTTGAGTACCAGCTTTATGAAGCTTACTGTGTTCTTAGCCTGGTCCTAGATCTGTTTGTGCTGTATATCCAACTCCTATTGTCATTGCTTGACAATGATCATAGGAGTTGGCAAGACAGCACAAACATATCTGGGACCAGGCTACTGTGTTCTGCCTCTAGTGTAAAATTCAACTCAAAATCAAGTGCTATGTTGTTTATCATGATTCTCTCTCTTTGCATGCATTCCAAAGTTGCAACATCTGTATGATGTTGAAGACCGTATTGATTCAGGCCGACCAACCAAGAAGCAGAAAGGCGGGTTGTCTCACCTGCGACAAGGTTAGTCTAGCTTCACTTTACTAAAGCAGTAATACATGAGGGGAGCATGGGCATGATTAATATTTGTTTATGCTCGACTGTGCTGGGCAATTCCATGGTAACGGAATTACACTTTGACTCAGTTTCTTCACTTTATATGTATGCTAAACAAAAACCATTGATCTTAAAGTTTGACAAACTGTACAACTCTATGCACAAGGACTACTTTTAACCATTTCCACTGGAGAATTTAGAAAAAATAACTTAGTGGAAGAACTGTGCGGATGCAAACTTTGGTAACAGATTTACAGAATTTTCCAAAAACTCTGTTAAATATGTGCTCTGAATTAAGATTCAAAAATGTCTGCAGAAAGAATGGGGTGTCAGCTATGACATGGCACCTTGAATTTGAAAAAAATCTATTTTGGTTATTGAATTACAAGTGGATTTACAGTTGTGGTCAAAAGTTTTGAGAATGACACAAATACTAATTTTCACAAAGTCTGCTGCCTCAGTTTTGATGATGGCAATTTGCATATACTCCAGAATGTCATGAAGAGTGATCAGATGAATTGCAATTAATTGCAAAGTCCCTCTTTGCCATGAAAATGAACTTAATCCCCAAAAAACATTTCCACTGCATTTCAGCCCTACCACAAAAGGACCAGCTGCCATCATGTCAGTGATTCTCTCGTTAACACAGGTGACAGTGTTGACGAGGACAAGGCTGGAAATCACTCTGTCATGCTGATTGAGTTAGAATAATAATAATAATAATATGCCATTTAGCAGATGCTTTTATCCAAAGCGAATTACAGTCATGTGCGCATACATTTTTACGTATGGGTGGTCCCGGGGATCGAACCCACTACCCTGGCGTTACAAGTGCCATGCTCTACCAATTGAGCTACAGAGGACCACTGTCTGAGTCTGGAAAGACTGGAAGCTTTAAAATGAAGGTGGTGCTTGAAATCATTGTTCTTCCTCTGTTAACCATGGTTACCTGCAAGGAAACACGTGCCGTCATCATTGCTTTGCACAAAAAGGGCTTCACAGGCAAGGATATTGCTGCTAGTAAGATTGCACCTAAATCAACCATTTATCGGATCATCAAGAACTTCAAGGAGAGAGGTTCAATTGTTGTGAAGAAGGCGTCAGGGCGCCCAAGAAGGTCCTGCAAGCGGCAGGACCGTCTCCTAATGTTGATTCAGCTGCGGGATCGGGGCACCACCAGCGCAGAGCTTGCTCAGGAATGGCACCAGGCAGGTGTGAGTGCATCTGTATGCACAGTGAGGCGAATACTTTTGGAGGATGACCTGGTGTCAAGAAGGGCAGCAAAGAAGCCACTTCTCTCCAGGAAAAACATCAGGGACAGACTGATATTCTGCAAAAGGTACAGGGATTGGACTGCTGAGGACTGGGGTAAAGTCATTTTCTCTGATGAATCCCCTTTCCGATTGTTTGGGGCATCCGGAAAACACATTGTCCGGAGAAGACAAGGTGAGCGCTACCATCAGTCCTGTGTCATGCCAACAGTAAAGCATCCTGAGACCATTCATGTGTGGGGTTGCTTCTCAGCCAAGGGAGTGGGCTCACTCACAATTTTGCCTAAGAACACAGCCATGAATAAAGAATGGTATCAACACATCCTCCGAGAGCAACTTCTCCCAACCATCCAAGAACAGTTTGGTGACGACCAATGCCTTTTCCAGCATGATGGAGCACCTTGCCATAAGACAAAAGTGATAACTAATTGGCTCGGGGAACAAAACATCGACATTTTGGGTCCATGGCGAGTTAACTCCCCAGACCTTAATCCCATTGAGAACTTGTGGTCGATCCTCAAGAGGCGGGTGGACAAACAAAATCCCACAAATTCTGACAAACTCCAAGCATTGATTATGCAAGAATGGGCTGCCATCAGTCAGGATGTGGCCCAGAAGTTAATTGACAGCATGCCAGGGCGGATTGCAGAGGTCTTGAAAAAGAAGGGTCAACACTGCAAATATTGACTCTTTGCATAAACTTAATGTAATTGTTAATAAAAGCCTTTGACACTTATGGAATGCTTGTAATTATACTTCAGTATACCATAGTAACATCTGACAAAAATATCTCATAACACTGAAGCAGCGAACTTTGTGAAGACCAATACTTGTGTCATTCTCAAAATTTTTGACCACGACTGTACATCGGGTAATGGAATTACAGTAACGGAATTACATCAAGGGTCCCTGATCTGTACTACACAGATGCATAATTATGGCTCTGAATGTAATTCTCGTCATGTTTCACAAGTTTGGAAATCACAGCGCAGCACAGCAGAGCACTGTCCAGAGTCAGACTGTTTTAACACTCCAGACCAGTCAACAGAAAGACAAAGAAAAGAGTTCTGAGCTGAACAGAACAGTATGCCAGTGGAAGGGAGGACAGAAGCAGGTGACCCAACTGTGGTTTGTGACTGTTATGTTTTCCCATTGTTGCAGTAATTCCGTTACTGATTTTTTTGGGGTAATTCTGTAATGGAATTACAAGTTTTAAAGCTGCAATATGTAACTTTTTGGGCGACCTGACCAAATACACATAGACATGTGAGTTATAGCTCTGTCATTCTCATTGAAAGCATGTCTAAGAAGCGGTAGATCTGTTCTATGTGCGTTTTTGCTATGCTTCCGGTTCTTAAGTTTCGTTTTTGCCGTCTTTTACGTTCAGGTTTGTACACAAGCTTCAAACAGCTGAAAATACAATATTTTTGGTTATGGAAAATATATTTCACAGTGGTTTAGATCAGGGGTGTCAAACTCATTTTAGCTCAGGGGCCACATGGAGGAAAATCTATTCCCAAGTGGGCCGGACCGGAAAAATCATGGTGTGTATATATAACTTAAAAACAACAACTTCAGATTGTTTTCTTTGTTTTAATACGATCAACATACAACATAAAGCTGGAGCCTGAGGACAGTGTATCCAAAATAGTACAAGCACAACATCACTATTAATCATAAAACACGTCAAGTTTATTTGAAAATTCTAAAGAAAAAGAACACACAATGCCTCAGTGATTAACAGAACTGTTTCACAGATCACAGAACTATATCAGGGTTTCATTTCTCAGGCAGAAATGTAGATAAAAATAATGAAATCCTGTTCCCCAAACAAGTGCAAGAACCACAGAGTCAAGAATAGGTTAAATATACAAATAAAATAAAATAAATTAAAAACAATAGCACATCAACATAAAAACATATAAACATAAATCTGAAAGCGTTGCTCAAACTCCCGTAACAGTCCCGTTATTTTATCTTTGAACCGCTTCATGTCTGCCACATGTTGGGTCGCGCACACATTTTTCAGACAGGGGAAGTGAGCTGCATCACCACCGGCAAGTTGCGTCTCCCACAATGACCGCTTCAACTTGAAAGAACGTATGCTGTCATAATACTGCGTGACAACTTTGTTGCGCCATTGCAGCTGTTTGTTCAAGTTATTCAGGTGTTCTGTAACATCCACCATAAATGCAAGATCCTGCATCCATTCTGCGGAATGAAATTCTAACACTGGTTTGCCCTCAGCACAGCACCTCGGCTTAACCATCTTACCTCAGTGTGGTATGGCAGGCCATAGATGTGGTCTTTCTCTCTGAGAAGGCTGTCAAACTGACGGTGATTCAGGCTTCTGGATCGGATGAAATTAACAGTTTGGATGACCACCTTCATGACGTTATCCATCTTTAATGACTTGCAACACAAAGCCTCCTGGTGCAAAATACAGTGAAAAGTCAAATCACGTCCTCCATTTGCAGATTGCACTTTCTCTCTGAACTTTGTCACAACGCCTGCTTTTTTCCAGATCATTGAGGGCGCACCATCTGTAGCCAGGCTGACAGCGCGGGACCAGTCCACTCCGACCCTGTCCAGGGCGCCGACGAGTGCGGTAAAAATATCAGCTGCTGTCGTTGTATCTGTCATCGGCACCAACTCCACGAACTCCTCGGTGACGGTCAATGTGTCATCAACTCCGCGGATGAAAATGGCCAGTTGTGCAACATCTGTAATGTCCGTGCTTTCATCAATTGCAACCGAAAACGCAATAAATGACTTTACTTTTTGCTTCAACTGGCTGTCCAAATCCACTGAAAGATCGGAAATCCTGTCTGCAACTGTGTTTCTTGTCAGGCTGATATTTACAAAAGCCTGCCGCTTTTCAGGGCACACAATCTCCGCTGCCTTCATCATGCATGTTTTTACAAATTCACCCTCACTAAATGGTTTTGAAGCCACTGCGATTTCATTAGCAATGAGGTAGCTAGCTTTCACTGCAGCGTCACTGATGTCTCGGCTGTGAGTAAACACAGACTGCTGTTTCTTCAGACTCGCCAACAGTTCATTCACCTTCTCTCATCTCCGCTGTCCTTGAAAGTTGTCATATTTGTCGGCATGAAGACTCACATAGTGGCGACGAAGGTTATTCTTTCAGCACTGCAACATGCTCTGAACACACCAAACATACAGCTTTCCCATTCAATTCCGTGAATAAATAGGATGACCATTTTTCTTGGAACACTCTGCACTCTGCGTCCACTTTTCTCTTTTTTGACAGAGACATATTGGGGCAATGAGGGTGCCAAAGCACATAATGTTAAAAGTAGAAGCCGTAATAAATATCGCGGGCAAAACAAAGTAGCTCATTGGCTGCACGTGCTTGACCTACTTGCTCTGCCCCGGTATAAACAGTTTGCTTGCTTAACACAATTGCTATTGCGCCATCCAGTGGACGCAATTGGAACAGCAGTTTATTTTATTGAAAAATTGCAGCGCATTTTATACTTTACAATGTTTTTTTTGTTTGTTTTTTATCATCTCGCGGGCCGGATTAAACCCGTTTGCGGGCCTGATCCGGCCCGCGGGCCGGACGTTTGACACCCCTGGTTTAGATTTTACATTTACATTTTAGTCATTTAGCAGACGCTCTTATCCAGAGCGACTTACAGTTAGCACATACATTATTTTATCGAACCCACAACCCTGGCGTTGCAAACGCCATGCTCTACCAACTGAGCTACATCCCCTGCCGGCCATTCCCTCCCCTACCCTGGACGACGCTGGGCCAATTGTGCGCCGCCCTATACTTGCTTGTTTTGTCACTAAACTGAAATTAGGCGAACTATTACAATTTTAACAACCAGGAAATGGCGGAGCGATTTCCGCATAGTGCATCTTTAATCACTTTTTTTTTTTTTTTTTTTTGTCATTTAGCAGACGCTCTTATCCAGAGCGACTTACAGTTAGTGAGTGCATACATTTTTTTCACACTTAATAATTCATAAACAAAATAGATTTCAGTAAAATCACTATAACTAATTGGTATGTCTACCATTACTTGTTACTTATGTTACCTTCATTATCCTCCCTCCTTATAAGGGAGAGAAATTAGAAAATATTTTAAAGATATGTGGGTTTTTGGTAACAAGGCACAAGGCAATATTTCTTAAACTTAGAGAAGGTAAGCAATTTCTCCAAAATGAAATACGTGTTGATTTTAGTTGGCAGTGGTCTTTACGTCAACATGATTGTGTTTTGATGTATTTATGATGCCTTTTAAGACTTTTTCTGGTAGATGTTTTCTAAGACTGGTTGAAAAATGTATCTATGCCTTCATTTCCCAAAAATATGGACTCCTAGCTTTCATTTGACACCCAATTTGATATGCTCCTATGAACTTCACATGTTAATGCTATTGATCCTTTTCGATGAAAATGACCTGCTGCAATCATAGGCACGAAACACTAGCCGAGCCTTTAACCCATTAATATGTGTCTCATTATCATCAAAATGGCTGTGACATTTCTGTTGCATCCTTAGATGCCCGACTCAGAATGTAAACAAGTCTGTGTATCTATCATAACATTCTTTCAATGCCTGCCTTGATGCAATATCGCTATGTTTCATGGCACAGACCAGGCAAGACCCTGAACATGACCATGTCCATGTTTGAACATCCACAGTAACATACCTCTTAGAATGAAGAAAGCAATGTAGGCCTATTGAGCATGCATTCTAAGTCATAATGCAGTGTTCTTATGTGTGTTCATGGCCCAGATTCGGTTGGAGCTTTTGAGGAGCTGTTGAAGTGGTGTCAGCAGCACACGGCAGGGTACGACAGGGTGAAGGTGAAGGATCTGACCCAGTCCTGGAGGTCTGGCCTGGCCTTGTGTGCCCTCATCAACACCTTCAAACCCCATCTTATGTGAGTCTGTGGGCTTTATAAGGGGGAAATTCAACTTATACACCACAAATGTAGCAAATGCACAAGTAGTACCACAGAAGGAAAGATGTACCCATGAGTCTACAGTAAAATGTCCTTGGTCTGAGGGGCTTTTCCTGTTCAAGTTATTCCATTTCCATGGTACTACCTGTCCAATAAGAAAGCAAACGTCAATTTTCTGTTACAAAATGTTTTGCTATGGTGTGCCCTATTGAACATGGCCCTGGTCAACATAGTAACTATCCCTCACCTGTCCCTCCAGTGACATGTCCTCTCTGAATGAGTCTGATTCAGTCCACAACAACCAGCTGGCCTTCAGCCTCCTGGAGAGAGAGCTGGGCATCCCTCCCATCATGTCAGCCAGTGACATGGCCACCAAGGAACAGATAGACAAGCTCTCCATGGTGCTCTACCTCACTCAGATCCATGATGCCTTCAACGAAAGGACGCCCACTAAAGGTAAGCATCAGGGCAATGGTTGTCAGACATGTTACATAATTATCACCGTGATTGTTTGTTTTATTACTTGTAGCCTCGACTCCAGCCATCTTGAACAAGAAAGTGGTGTTGAGGTCTGCTATCACGAGACTAGATTATGTATATTTATAGACTGTTATGTTACTGTGACATCATTATGCATAGTTGTATTAATTACATAAAGGTGCTTTTAGTGTGCTTCATTTCTAAAAATGCTTTACCAAATTTCAGCAGAGTTTTCAATATTAACCATATCACCATAGCCAACTATTAGTGGAAACAATGGAATCTGGCCTAAGTCTGTTTAGACAGTGCATAGCTTATGTAACCCCCATTTGTACATCCTTGGGCCCAGGTGTTTTTCCCTATGAAATGTGTTTGGCGTTGATAAGAAGGGAGAGGGCTGTCATTGTCCCTTTAAGAGCATTACCCAGCATTCCTCTGGTTAGAGTAGCTGGGCTGTGCTCATAACCAGCCCTGATTGACAGTCAGGGTTGTACTGCTCTCTTGCACTCAGTCCGTAAGCCAGGCAGCAGTCAAAGCAAACCGCACAGCAGCCCGTGAGGAAATGGCTTATCAGGCTTGGGTAGGACTAGCCTCGGCGTCATCTAAAATATATCGAATGTTCCTGCTTTGAGGAAGAAGGATTTTCCCCATCTATTTTTGCTGCCGTAAGGTATTTCTGGAAAAATACTAGCAGAGTGTGTAGCAGGGATTTTCAGTTGGGATCCAGCATTTGGAAGCAGTTTTAGAGAGAGGGTGTGACATGCTTGTCGCTGTGATGCCGTAGGTAGCATAGCTCACTGTAGGGGGATCGGCTGGCTGGCTGGCACACAGATGCGCATGCATGAGGGACATGTCCTGTCTGTCACCGGGGGCTTGCACAGGAGTTTTCTCAGGGGGATTGACAAATTGAATTGAATTACATCTTCTACAAAGCTTGTTTTCAACAGCAGTGTAGAGAAGCTGGATGTGTAATATATAATGAATGACAGGATTTTTACATAAGAGAGATTGGTAGAGAAAAAGCCAGAACACATTGTTTATGTACAAGAAGCTGTACACATTTTAAAATGCAGGTTTTCTGCTGTGGGGGGCTCAGACAACACAGTGGGTTAGTTGGGTGCCTGTGAAACGTGTTTGTTGTTCTGGCAGAACAGGAACAGTAGGAAACTAAAGCTGGAGTGTGTTTGTGTCTCTCTCTGCTGCAGAACCTCCGAGCCTTCTCCTGACGCCGTCCAAGACCCTGTCTTTTCAGGCTGTTTTCTTCCTCAACAAGCTCAAGCACAACTCTCTGCAGAGACGCAAGGTAAGGCTCAGGCAATCAGCTACATGTTGTCACTGGGACTAGTTAGCTGTTTACGCAATACAGTATCAGGTAGAGCGCGATAATATTTATGCAAAAACATTTGTCTGTTGGGTAAAATGGAGAGTAGGCCAACCTCAAGTTCACATGGACTGTCATCATTTTTCATGCAACTCCCTGCTGTCGTTGACTATTTACTTACAGTAATATCAGAGTTCTCTAGATAAGAACCTTGAATTCACATGCCCAGCCATTTTGGTTTGCTTCTTGTGATTATGCTTCGATTCATTCATTGTCTACAGTTACAATATGTGTTTTAATCATCATTTGATTGTGTTCGTTCCTTATTATAACTAAGACCATACTACAGAACACTTACAATATATTTTTTTAACCTTTGTTGGCTTGTTCCAAAATCAACTGTAATAGCAAAGACACTTTTCAATCATTTAAGGTAATATCTAAAGCATTGTTCATTTTGACATCATCCATTATTCAGTTGCATAATGGAAACCATAAACAGGTCACATGACTGTTTTCTCTTTTACACAGGAGAGACTGGCAGTCGAGACAGAAGATAAAGCTAAAAGGATGGGAGATGAGGAAGATGTGAGTGGTGTCTAGAATACAAATGCTATCCTCATTACCATAGGCTCCCATGCAGAGCTAACCTTTTGCTGTATGATGGATGTATCTGCAGACTTCAGGACTACTCCAACTGCTATTCGATTCAATGTTTACGTGCTATGCTATTGAACTACTAATATCACTGGCGGTTGTTCCTCTCTTTGATTACTACTGGGGTATAGCACCCAGGGTACAGACCATTGTAAGAGTTGTTGAACACACCAGATTTGTCATTTTTAATCGTTCCTCTTTCTTTGGCCTTCAGGACTATTCCCTATTGTTACACCATAAGTACATGTTTTTGTGCTAAGTTATTGAAGTACTGTTAAAATATGACTGTTGATCTCAATTTCTTTGCTCTCAGCCTGTAGCCCCTGTCTCAGCCCCTGAGGTGACCCCTGAACTAAGCCCGACGTCAGGCATCGGCAGCAATGAGGAGTGTTACTTCTGTGGCCAGCGGGTCTATGTGCTGGAGAGGATCAGCACTGAGGGCAAGTTCTTCCACCGTAGCTGCTTCACCTGCCAGCAGTGCGGCACCACCCTTAGACTGGGCAGATATACCTTTAGCCAGAACACGGGTGAGTGAGCATTACCGCTTCTACCGCTGAGTGCCAGTCTGTTTGTGCTAACATGTTAACTTAGCATGCCAACGAGTGGCAAGGAGTTGACCTGATAGCATAGACTGGCACTCAGTCTAGTGGGAAATCTGCTGGGTCCTAATGAGCCCTTTTGAATCTTTTACAAGCACAACATCATGTTACTATGCAAGTGGGACTTCCATGGTCATTATGTACTCAATTATGGAAAATATTCTCTCTGAAATGTTCTGCCTTCTGAAATATTGGCTGCTCACAAAGACACAGCAAGTTACTCGCTGTTTGGACAATACAGAAACAGAATATCGTTATTTCTAGTGCAACAGCTTCCGTACCTGTAGTAAGGTAAATCCTCCAAGGCAAGGAACCTACATCCGGATGATAAATACAGCACAGTTTAATTTATTTATGCACCGTATGAAAAATGAATGAAAGATGCCCTTTTACGTGTTTTGTGGTTCATGTGAAAAGGAGAATGGGAGAAAGGGTTGTCAAGTAGCATCTCAAACATGTGCCAGATCCAGACTCTGCAAGCTGTTGTTTTCCCTCTTGTGCCCTCAGGGAAGTTCTACTGTGAGCTGCACTCTGAACAGCTAGAGATGGAGAACAGGGAACCATCCCCATCCGTTAAGGTGGGGTCTCTGTTCTGAGTTTGAGCAGATGGGAAATTAAACCATTCTGTTGCATACCATGTTGCCAGCTTGTGGCTCAACTTATCTGTACAGAACAATTAAGGACAGCTAGTGGGTATAAGTAGTACATTGGTGTTGAGTCACAAGATCTGTTCATTTCAAACATGGCTGTGTACCATAACCATTCATTTATAGATGAATGTTTAATCACATGATACAATGCTTATGCTACAATCCTCCTTTCATTTTTTCCCTTCTAGGATACCATAGGAGATCACGAGGAGGAGAAGAGAGGTGTGAATTCGATCTCCAGTGAAGACCACTCACCTTGTCCCTCTGAGGACAACGAGTACGATCTAGACTCTGGTCCTCCTAAACCCACGGAGCCTCTGCATCCTCAGAGTCAGGAAGACCCCAGCAGCAAACATCCTAACCCTGTAGAGGAGCCCCCGGTCCCACCAAAACCGCCTATACACGTTTTCACAAAGAAAGGGTTTGAGGCCTGTGAGGTGGAGGAAGAGTGGAAGGAGAGGGGTGAGGATGCCCCCTCGGATCCTCTGACCCCTGTCCCAAAACCTCGCCACTCTCGCTCGGACATCCCTCAGGCCTCCCCTCCTGTAGCCAAACCACGCACTGTCCTCCTCACCCCAAAAAGGGACACGTCACCAGCCTATGCAGGAGAGAAGGGGTCCCCCAGGGCAGCAGGAGAGAAAGGGACCCCCAAGGCAGCCCCAGCCCCTGACTCCAGGCCGAAGCCGTCCCTGCGGAAGTTGCAGCTGACCGACGAGGAGAAGAACCACCTGGTTAACTTGAGCTTCAGCCTGGACTCTGACTCGGAGACACCCGGTTCTTCCTCCTGCTCCTCTTCCTCAGCCACAGCAGCGGGTCCCTGCCCACCCAAACCCCCAGGTATCCTTATTCTCTTTCATTGTCTTTTCTTTGTTTTGTCTCTTCTATTGTGTTTTTATTGTAAAAGTGTTGCGATTGAATATACCACTTTTTTGAGGTATGATAAAAATTAAAAAAAAATGGCCCAGTAGGAAGCTTGAAGGGTTTAATCAAGTTTGATTTGAGGTGCAGACGCCCAGGAGGAGGAGGGCTACTGGAGTGGGGGCCCTGGGCCGGGGGGACACATACGGGAGCACAGGAACCGCCGCTGCTTCAGGAGGAAAGACGAACCAGCGGGGCTCCAGGGCCAGCACGCCAGGGTCCGCTCCAAGTTCTCCCCCTGGAACCTGTCCTCCCCTCGGCTGGGGAGGGACCACCGCTTCAGCGTCCTCAACAGCCACCCAGGTATAGACCCTAGTGTGGTGTGGATTTACTGTCTCGGCCATAGAGATCATATTAAATTACTAGAGGGGCTATGTCATAAAACCTCAAAGTTCCAGAACGGGGTGAAAATGGCAGCCACTTTGGTCAGGGAAAAATCCAAACCAGTCTAATTGGAATGAATGGCAGTAGAGGCATAATCCTGATTTTACTTATTCAGGAAAATAAAAGTAAGGCATGTGATATCTGAAATTGTGTAATAGAATTATTGTCATCCTAAAATATTGTCATATAATTATAAATAGTTTATATGGATTTTATACAAATGCTCTGTATATATGTGTTTTCTTGGAAAGCTGCTACTTTTTGCATTTACAACTTGTCTAAGTCCTATTATCAACTGATTTCAGACAGTGTATGGCTGTGGATTGACTGCATTGTTTGAATGGAATGTTGGCAGTTAATTAAACAATTTATTAATGGAATCATTCCTCAAAACTGTCTGGCTAGCTAGCTAACAAACATACAGTGCAGATACATTCATTATTTTACACTATCTTATCACTGCATTGGCAAACCATGGTTGATCAACTCCCTGACCAAAATGTCTGACCTTTATCCCATCATAAGAAGGTTCATGTCCATTCTAGTATTCTAATTCCTAATTCTATGGCCTCATTGGCCACATTATCTTTATACCTGTCAATCAATAAAATATGTATTTATATTGCAAACAGCAGTTGTTAATACCCATGTCCTTCATATCTATTCTGAATTAATAATTGTATTTCTTTAACTTCACAGAAGTACACTATGGCCACAGTGTATCTGAGGAAGATGGTGGTGGTGATGATGATGATGATGATGAGGATGAGTTGGATATGTTTGCACCAGATGGCTTGGATTTATATGATGATAAGGTAAGGAGTGTGACTTATCTGGCTGGCATATTAAGTCCATAGATATTGCACACACACACACACACACACACACACACACACACACACACACACACACTCTCTTGTCTAGTTCCAGACCATCCCTTCAGACCCTGTAGAGGCTGAAAAACTGGAGCTGTTGAAGATGAGGGCGTTGGATCGACGGGCCAAGACGTGTGAGATGCAGCGCTTCCACAATGCACAGGTCAGTTCACTGTACTGTGATTTGCCAGTAAAGCACAGGATTGTGTTTTACAAGAGATAAAACATTTATTGTTGCAAAAGGTTTTGCTCTGGTGCACCCTACTGAATACTGCACAGGGCAGTTCACTGTCTGAACACAGGACAGTCTGCTGAAGCCAGATCGAACAGCTCTACTTTCGGATGGTTAGTCTAACACTGGACCTGCCAGTATTGAGTCTTCCTGCTTGTCCAGTGTTCTCTGCTATAAAGCTCATCTTATTGTCTGCTTGTGACCCCCAGTCTATTCAGAGGCGCCTGGAGGAGATTGAGGTGACGTTTAAAGAGCTGGAGGATAAAGGTGTGGTGCTGGAGCAGGTACTCCGAGGAGAGGAAGGTGAGACCCCACCCCAACACTTTCGTTTGCTGTAGCTAACCATAACACAGTACTTTGAACATAGCTTGTCCTGAACAACAAAGATTTGCCTTCATCTTTTATCCTGTGATGCTTTGATGGAGGTCCGTAGAGTGAAATATTGGCATTTGGCAAGCTTTGGCAAGGAATATGCAGCGGGAACTTCTTGAGTCTCTTTCACCCTCCCCCCATCATATCTTCTCATTCTCCCCCAGGCAGTGGAGGTTCCCCTGAGATGATCGACCAGTGGATCCATCTGGTCCACCAGAAGAACGCCTTGGTCTCTGAGGAGTCAGACCTAATGGTGGCGTGAGTGTAGAATTAGTTTTACCATACATTTCCATACATTATACAGAGTATAGTGTTCTTGTGTGGTGAGTTCCTAGCTGAAGTAGCCAGTGGGGGACAGAGAAGCAGACTTCACACTCCTGACAGAGTTGTTATTGTGTTCTTCAACATAGTTGTACCCTTGTTTTGCCATGTTGACTCATGAGCTGAGTGTGAGCTGTGGGAGTTTCCCTTAACTGCAACTAAGGCCCTATTGAATGAAACCAGCCACTTCTATTCAACTGTCTTCTGTTTCCTCCTTTCCTCTGCCCATCAGGTCTCGACAGCTGGAGTTGGAGGACAAACAGAGCATGCTGGAGATGGATCTCAGACGATACATGGAGCTGGATGGTATGTTACTCTACAAAAAGACTGGATCGTTGCATTTGTATCACTGATAGCATAGTTATAAGATCACTTAGTAGGAGGTCTCCTGTGCAAAGTTTGTGTGTGTGAAATCCTCTTATCGTGTCCACCCCAGACTCTGCGAAGACGGCGGAGCAGCAGGCAGAAGAGGACCGTGTGCTACAGGAGATGCTGGAGGTGGTGGACATGAGGAACTCTCTGGTGGCCTTCCTGGACGAGAAGCGACTCCAGGAGATCGAGAGTGACAAGCAGCAGGCCACCTCGCTACTAGAGGCCAAGAGACACTCCACAGCCTCAGCAGGGGCACAGGTGCACTGGGCATGAGGGTGACATGGACACTGGACAGTGATAAACATACATACATACATGCAACTGCCAAAATAAAGGAAACACTTGAGTAAATGAGGGATACAAAGTATATTACATTTACAATTTAGTCATTTAGCAGACGCTCTTATCCAGAGCGACTTACAGTTAGTGAATACATATTTGTTTTATACTGGCCCCCCGTGGGAATCGAACCCACAACCCTGGCGTTGCAAACGCCATGCTCGATCAACTGAGCTACATCCCTGCCGGCCATTCCCTACCCTACCCTGGACGACGCTGGGCCAATTGTGCACCGCCCATGAGTCTCCCGGTCGCGGCCGGCTGCGACAGAGCCTGGATTCGAACCAGGATCTCTAGTGGCACAGTTAGCACTGCGATGCAGTGCCTTAGACCACTGCGCCACTCAGGAGTGGAAGCAGGTGCTTCCACGCAGGTGAGGTTCTTGAGTTAATTAAGCAATTAACATCCCATCATGCTTAGGGTCATGTATAAAAATGCCCAGTTGCCTATTATTTTGGCTACCATGGCTAGAAGAGATCTCAGTGACTTTGATAGAGGGATCTGTCACCAGAACTCAACCCAATTGAGACAGTGTTTTTCATCAACAAAACACCAAATGATGGAATTTCTCGAGGAAGAATGGTGTCCCATCCCTCCAATAGAGTTCCAGACACTTGCAGAATCTATGCCAAGGCACAGTGAAGCTGTTCTGGCTCGTGGTAGCCCAATGCCATATTAAGACACTTTATGTTGGCGTTTCCTTTATTTTGGCAGTACATGCATACAGTAATACATATGTACAGGTATATAAACACACTTAAATGTATTTAAAGAGAATATTGCTGCTTACAGACGCACAAGCATGATCTTACATTTGCAAAGCCAAAGATGTATTGGTGAAGGTATTTCTCCAGAAGTGTTGTGCTCTGTGTTGAGCCGCAGTGTACTGTCTGACTCCAGAGGTATAACACAGAAACCTGTCTGGAGATATGTGTTTTACAATCTGGATGCATCCAGGCCTTCCTGGCCTGTCCCCACTGGCCATCCATCTCCAGTGAAGGCAGTCCTGCTCCAGCAGCAGCCCCAGGATAAAGAGACCCCCACAGCCAGCTGAACTCACACCAACCTGACTAACTGCTGACAGTACAAAGCAAAGGAGTTGAGGACTCACAGGTTCTTAATACCGGGTTAATATATTCTGTGGGTTGGACAGTGTTGTATAAAATAGATTCATGTAAATTTTTTGGTGTAACCCTAGATGAGTGAGTTCTGCTAAGCACAAAGGTAATGTGCATATCACAATTCTACTTTTGTATACTGTATAAATTGACAAAATTTGATATAATACAACAACATTAGTTGTTTGAGAATTGCGTGGTCCATAACAATTCAATATTATTAAAGATGTTAAATATGAGATTATTATTTACTAGTATGTTTTTTTTTTTTGTGTGTTAAATTTCAGTGACTCATGTTGTGGATTGTTTTGCATGTTACATTTATAATTAATGTTAGTCTCAGGGGGGTTAACCAGTGCACTCCTCTAGGAATCTTTGTTTGATGGATGTCAGTAAATGACCTTTTTATATATTGGTCACTAATTGGATGTGTGGTACTAAGGCTGCAATATACCGGCAGCCCAATTCTAATCTTTTTTTTTTTCTCCACTAATTGGTCTTTTGACCAATCACATCAGATCTTTTCACATCAGATCTTTTTCAGAGCTGATCTGATTGGTCAAAATACCAATTGGTGAGTAAAAATATCAAAATTGGGCTGCCTGTCTAAACGCAGCCTTTTGTGTATGGGTGAAATACATTCTGAAGTGACGGTATTTTCTTAAGACTCATTTATCATTTGCTAATCTCTATAAATATATGTTAATAGTATAGCCAAGTTTAATGGAAAATGTTGTTTTTAGTCACACCCAGCCTTATGTATCCTCCAGTGTTAAATGCTGCCATATTGTGCTGCCGGGACAGGACTTGGCAGAATATAAAATAAAGACCATGCACTGTCATCACATTTTATTAAGTTTAAGTAGATCCTCATATGTACGTATTAGAGTTTTTTTTGCCATAAGTCTTGTATAGACTGTCACTTTCCCATGATGTTTTGATGCTGTTCCTAATGGTTACCATTAGAGAGCATACCTACCCTGTTTGGCAACATCGCATTAGTGGAAACCAAGACTTCGGTCAGGGCAGGCCTGATTTGTAGTTAGATATGTTAGTTGCGACAGGGACAATTTTAGCTAACCCTTTTCCTGACCTTAACCTCATTCTCCTAACCTGCCAAGTTAATTCTCCTAACCTGCTACGAAAAGTCGCTTCTGCTAGTCAAAACCGACAGATCTGCCCTAAGAACAGTCTTGGTTTCCACTAATGTGATACAGCCCGTTTGGCAGTTTATAGAGACGTGATTCACGTTACTTCACAAATTGCCTGTGAACTCCAATAGGTTCAGCAAGTGTTAATTGTAATCTAGTTTATTCTGCAATGGATTGACTTTAAAGAAAAATTCAGTGTAAAGAAGTATTGTCTTTTGTTTCACTGCAAATTGAACTTGCTCAGTGATGCCTGCTAGAAATGCAAAACAACTATATATATATATATATCTATATATCTAGCCACTTGGAAATAACCTGAATATAATACTGAAAGTAATAAAAGACACCATATTTTCAAGATGTTTTATTAATGTAATCAGTGATGTGTTCTGCACAGGTGTTTGCAATATAATTTCTGAAGCCGTTATGTGATGTCCAATGCACCATTCTGCAACTAGGCTGCAGTTGCTCAGTAGCTGCAGTTGGAGATTTTTCAGGTCATCCAGTAGATATCGATTGACTTTGATCCTGTTCATCAGGAAGGATATGGGCCAGCATCTCTATGGGGTCAACAGTATGCATCTCACTGTCATTACATCTAAGTGTAGATGTGCTATTAGCAGGCCTCTGTTAATAAGCCTGTACAGTGAAGGAAAAAAGTATTTGATCCCCTGCTGATTTTGTACGTTTGCCCACTGACAAAGAAATGATCAGTCTATAATTTTAATGGTAGGTTTATTTGAACAGTAAGAGACAGAATAACAACAAAAAAATCCAGAACAACGCATGTCAAAAATGTTATAAATTGATTTGCATTTTAATGAGGGAAATAAGTATTTGACCCCCTCTCCATCAGAAAGATTTCTGGCTCCCAGGTGTCTTTTATACAGGTAACGAGCTGAGATTAGGAGCACACTCTTAAAGGGGGGGGGGGAAGAAAGGGATATATATTGACAATAATAACATGTGAAATCACATGTTGATTATTTACTGGGAAAAATAAATACAAATTGTAAAAAAAAACAATCAGCATATCAATCTCAAAATAATGGGCGGGTTCTGGCACGTAAATTCCTTTTGTTAAATGGTTACATTTGTGGCCGCCTAGCCTACTATCTCCTGGTAGCTGAGCCAATGAGAGGTTGCCAAGCCTATTGTGATTATTACTGTTATATCAGGGCATTATGTTCTAGACTCAGTCTTAATTATAGGCCTATGGGTTATGTTTAGGTCCATGTTAAATGCAAGAGTCATGGATTTACATAGGCCTACAAGCCTATTTGGTCTGTAATGCGAAATCACATGTTCGATGGTTTGCTGTGCGTGATCATATACATTAGGGTATAGATAGGGTAGGCTTTACTGATAATTTAATTATGATTTGAGTGCCCAAATTTTGTCCCCCTACATTTTTGTTGGCCCTGCCATCTACGGATTCTTGCCTACGCCACTGGTTGGCACAAGAGGTTATGTCACCTAATGAAGGAGCTAGTGCTCTGTGAGGTGCAGAGGTTAGCTCAAAGTGGGCTAACTCACTCAGCCACACAACTAGCACGAACAACCAGCAGAGTAATTAGCCTCTTGTTTAAGTGTTATGCAAATGTTCCAATTCTCTGCAGCCAAATGTAATGAACCGATTTGCAGCCTTTTAATGAGTTAGGAGATGTTCAGTTATTGTAAGATCATGTGCTAGAAACAAAGCCCCATTTGCAGGCCCAACAAAAAGTAGGATTATCCAGCAAATGTTTAGTTATTATTCTAACCTTTATTGCCAATTGTCTCTACTTGCAAAATCATGTACATATACCAAGGTGAATAGCCTACATGTGCCATCTGGTATTTTTGATCTCATGCAGGTTTTATGAGGATAAATATGGACCCTCATCCTCCATATTAATTATTCAGCAGAAGGGAGAGGTGATTAGATTCATTTGGTGGTAAGAATATAGACTACTTGCCTCTGAACATTACATTGGGTGTTATGCCATTTGTTATAAATAGAAATGTGAACATTTTTGTCTTACTGCTAGTTGCTTTACATAATGTTAGAATGTTTTCCAGATATTGCACATTCATGCATATCTGAATCAGGGTTGTGTGCAGCAATTAAAGGTGCAATATATAGAAATGGCTCCGCCATTTCCTGGTTGCTAAAATTCTAATAGTTCGCCCAATTTCAGTTTGTGACAAAACAAGCAGTCATTGTGTAGAGTATCATTGTCCCATCTAAACCGCTATGGAATACACTATATACAAAAGTATGTGGACACCCCTTCAAATTAGTGGATTTGGCTATTTCAGCCAGCTGACAGGTGCATAACATCGAGCACACAGCCATGCAATCTCCATAGACAAAGATTGGCAGTAGAATGGCCTTACTGAAGAGCTCAGTGACCTTCAACGTGGCACTGTCATAGGATGCAACTTTTCCAATAAGTGAGTCAATCAAGTTTCTGCCCTGCTAGAGCTGCCCCGGTCAACTGTACAGTGAGGGAAAAAAAGTATTTGATCCCCTGCTGATTTTGTACGTTTGCCCACTGACAAAGAAATGATCAGTCTATAATTGTAATGGTAGGTTTATTTGAACATTGAGAGACAGAATAACAACAACAAAATCCAGAAAAACGCATGTCAAAAATGTTATACATTGATTTGCATTTTAATG